TTAGCCCATTACTTCTCTCACTTCATACACAAAGCTCTCCATTCAAAAATTTACAGCCATGATAAAGACCAGTGGGGATTCTTTAGATGTCTCTCCTGTACATGGAACAAACCTCTTCAAAACGCAGATGTACAGAAACGTACTTTGCACCATGGTTTGCACTTTGCTCTTTCATTCTCTTCACCAGTGTTTCTCCTAAAGTTAGTATGGGTTTCGAAAACCTCAGAGCTTCATAATTAGCTAAACATCTAAGCCTTTGGACAGGTTGAGGAGCATCAAACGAAAGTCTATTTGCAAATGGGGATATTCGTATAATCCTGTGCCATTCAAAGACAACAGTTCTTCAATCACTAAGTGCTGAGCAGATCCAAAACATATATTCCGCTAAATAAGGTGGTTTACGAACGAAACGTATTTAACTCTACCACATGAAAACAGTCTTCTAAAGAACAATTCGTAACTTACTTCTCCTCAAGTAGCTTCGGCAAGATCGAGTCTCGATAATATTGAATAGGTGACCATGCTTTAACTCTGAAGTTATAGACATTTGTCATGTTATAGTCAAAACGCTCCATTAGATATTCAGGAATTGTATCAACCACCCGCACATCATTTGCTAAGGTACTAACAAAGAACTCTTCATCATAGATATCCCCAAATTTACTGAAAGAAAACCCTCTGTCAGAAAGCAGTCTACAAAAGATGGCTTTGAGTTGAACAAACAATGGCAAAACCAGATGTTCAGAAGAAAGCAATCTAAAACCTTGGATCTCTCCATATGCTGTGATAGTGAAAGTTGGGAATTACTAGAGTTGCATTAAGATAGCCTGCCACAGCAACCGCATTGCATATCTAAGCATAACATGAGTAGAGATAAGTCAATAGCTACATAATCAAGATTGCTAGAATGATTGAGCAAAATGCATAGATTTTATGTCATAAAAGATCAACAAACCCACCGATGTCCGCTGCTGATTCAAGCCTCCGTTCGCCTCGACATATATGAAACCGTTTGACTCGGGTAAGTCTACAGATACAAAAAAAAAATCAAATACCCAATTAATCAATTACTGTATGATCCAACGAACAGGTAAAATATGAGCTACAGAAAGTACAGAGCACTTAGCCCATTTTAATTAAGGTGACAAAATATGCTACATATGAGAAGTATAAGTATGAAGAATTGACAAAAGAAATGTAATACCTCCAGTAGACTTGTTCACATACGGCTTCCATTCACCACCTTTATAGGAATGTTTCCAAATGGTTGAGATCTGAGATGATTACAATTCCATTGATGATACATACGAAAAAAATAGGAAAGCAGACTATACTAATATTCTCAACCCATCACTCAAACAGGCAAAGCAGCCACAGAACAAAAAGTAGCGATCGTGATACATGGAAGTATTTATAAATCAATCTAACAGTAGTTTCAAGGGTAAGGAAGAGAACCAAATAAGAACCTAGAAATCTAGGGGAAAACTTCTGGTCAATGCTCTTTCTCTCAATGTGTCTTTGTGCTTAAGTCGATAGAGAAACATGTATTAACAAGTAAATAGAGCTAAAACTAAAAATCAGAGTATCTTCCCGAGATAAGGAGAACCATCACCCCTATACAATGTTATGAGCTTGAATTCCTCTAGAGAAAGTTCAATCACTAAATCCGAAAGACTAATTTAGCTAAAGAGCAACGGGTCAGACTCATATCGTGATCCAATGATTCAGAGAAAATTGCAAAGCAGAGAATGGCGAGAATGACAATGTAGAGGGAGCTGAAAGAAAAGACTGACCGCATCAGCGGTGGAATTATCGGCGTCCATCTCAGGGCGGAGCTTAGCGTAAACCTGGGGGCTTTTGTAAACGGATCCAGGGGGAGGTCGACGCTGGATGATTGGAACAACGTCGAAGGAGACGGTTCCCATGTAAAGGAGCATACAAGAGATATAGATGAGAGGAGCGAACAGGAATATTCCCTGACGACGTAGAAGAACCGATAAGAGGATCCAGGAGAGGCGATGAGCGAGGGTGCGACTTGGCTGAACCGTAGGAAATCTACTACCGGCGGCGGCTTTAGAACGGCCGTGACGGTAACGAGGAGAACGGCGAGGAGACCCCGGAGGAGAAGGAGTAGTGTGGCCGCTTCCAGGCAGCCGATTCTTCGCTAGCATTTGAGAATAAAAACAAATCCACAGATCTCAATCCCTCCTATCTTTCGTCAACGCCTTTTACGTCATCCTTAATCCCGGCGGCGGCGGCGGGAGGTCGTGAAACGCAGCGAGGCGGCGATGTGAATCCCCGCGGCGGAGACGGCGGTTGCGAGATGAGAGAGATTCAAACGCCGGGAGAGAAAGTGTATTTTGTATTCCTGGTAAGCGGTGGAGGAGACGAAGCGTGATCAGTCACATGCCCCCATTACCCTTTTCTTCTCTCTTCCTTCCTTCGCCTTTTCTCTCTGTCTTTTTTATTTTGTTTCCCTTTTTTTTTTGTGTGTGTTACATTTCAAATTTTTATTTATTATGAAACCAATATACATATATTAAATATTCTGGATCAACAGATTTAGCTTAATCTCCATTATTTTATTTTATAATTAAAAAGCTAATTCAGTTTTTTTTAGTACTTTCACTAATTAATATATACTCTATGTTTGTTTTACGTTTTGATTTTATTCTTTTAAGATATGGAAAATATCCAACAACAACAACTCAACTATTTTTGTTTCGTCATGTTTTGTATTATCTTCTCTTACAACTAAACTTTATCTATCTACAATTGTGAAATTATATCTCTTTCAATTAAAAGAAGAAAACAAATCAACTATTAAATGTCTACAATTAAATTGGAAGATATCTTTATAAATCAATATTTTCCGAATTGATAGACATTAAATTATCAATCGTTGAAAACAAATATTTTATATTTAAATTATTTGAAAATTGGAGAAAAAATCCTAGAAAAAACAAAAACTATCTTTATCATCATCATGTACGTATAATCGTATATATTACTAGAATGAGCGTTTGTATTTTAAAACTCTAATAATATATGATGACAATTCACTAGTAAACATTTGGAAAAAAAAAAAAAAAATTCACTAGTAAACATTTAAAAACAAAAAAAAAAAAACTCAGAAGACAAAGCCAACACGACAAGCAATGTTGATTCCATACTCTCTAATCTCTATTGAGCTAATCTTGAAACAGCACGTGCTTTTGGTAAGGAATTAGGGTGTAATTATTTTTTTGATGACTATACATTAATAGTATATAATTTTCCAAGCATGATTGCTTCTTAACACAACAATGCACCCACATAAATTATGTGTTAGATTTCAAATATTTTTTCTAAAAAAACTTAAAATGTTGACTTGTGTGAGAGTTATAAGAAGGGATTTAGATGACCTCCGCTTGTAGAATGGCACCATGACCACACATATAAAAATATATGTAAATAAAGCTTAATCTGTATGTATGTGGGATTGGTATACTTATTCTAAAAATATGTAAAAGTAAAAGTAAAAATAAATAAATGGTGGTATGGTTATCATTGGTTTTGGAAATACTAAAGATTAGCTAAGGGAGTTACAATAATCATGTGAGTATTACTAGAAATTAGCCTGTGGCTGTGTTGCATGTGCAACTGAGATGCAGAGTGGTTGGCAACAGCGACATTATTATAATTTTTACTACATAAAAAGAAAAGATTCCCAAATTTAGTAAAATACTTGTATATGCCATTTCTCTATAGATTTTTTTTTCTTTTCCAATTAGGAATCATAACACTCCCCTAAATCTAATATGTAACCCACAAAACTTGCATGTTTAAGGTATTTTTTAAAAAACAATATATCAGAAGAATAATGTTTGCTTATTTTCCACTTCTCTAGTTTAATTAAAAAAAAAACAATGTTTTCTATTCAGAACTGATTTTTTACATTTTTTTGTGGTTATCATTGAAAGCCTAAAATTTTGTCGAAGAGAAATGAAGATTTTTTGGTAAGAAAAAGGAAGAATGTCGTCGTGTGATTGAGAGTTTAGTGACAGTTGCAAGTTGCTGTATATGAGAGCTCTGTCGTGTTTTGTAAATTTCGTCCTAAGTTACAAAACAAAACGATTCGACGACGATGGATATGTTCCACATCTTACTGTCACTTAAATCGTGTCATCTCTTTTGTTTCCTTTGGGGAATATATAAATGTAGAGAGCATTTTATTAGCTTATACGTGTATATCATATATGCACTAAATACAAAAACAAAATCACAAGACAAGGATTAGACATTAAGATAAAGACAGTTATAAATACCAAACCAAAGAAGGGACAATGATGATGAGAAATAACAAAAGTCTTCAACCACATTTGTCAAAATATTCAGTCTCTGGTAAAATTATTCTTCCTCTGAACTGAACACAAACGCCACGAGCTGAGACTCAGTCACTCATCAGAGACTTACTTATGTCTTCGTCCCGGAACAGATGATACCTAACCTACGTGTCCGTCATATATCACCAACACAAATTTATTTAGAGAACTATTCTCTTGGGATTGTTTTTGATCGATCCAGATTTTTTTGGGAATTGATGTAAACAAGTGTTGAGTTTTTTTATTTTTAGAGATCAAATCAATAGTATTGGGGTGATTAACGCAAATATCATAAAATTAAAGGGCTCCGTGTACGAACTCTCAGGAGGAAGAAGAACAGTGTCACCTTATTTAACCGAGACCGGTACTAATTTCCCTTCTCTATCCCGTGAACCGGATCCAACCGCTATCAGCTTACCGGAATTCAGCTGACATCACACCGGAAAATGATCACAAATCTCCGGCCAAAAACCAGGAGATCAAATCGTACAAGAACATGTATGGTGTTGTACTTGGGGGGAATTTTATATATTTTTTTGGGCCTATATCTGTCAAATTCTGTAATGGGCCTTAATTGACTTAGCCCATTAAGTTTTGTCATCGTTATTTTCGTAATTGACGAATCGGTGAGGAGTGACTTCGCATTGAGCTCGAGAGGAGAGGACACGGAGGAGAATGGCGAATCAAAGTACAGACACGCATCAACCGTCGAATATGCAGACTTACGGTGTTCCGATTTACGCCGCCGAATGGATCCCGGAGGTGTCTGTTAGATCTAAAATCATTATGGATCCGAAGAAATCCGAAGATGATGTTGATGAGTCGGAGTCTGAGTCGTCGTCTCGGAGCTGCATCGTTTTGTGTGGCGGAGGCGGAGAGGGACGAAGCGGAATCCCCAACGTCATCTTAATCTGTCGTGTTGATCTCGACACCAACTCTCTTTCCGAACAACCTGTAAGTCGGAACCGTTTCAACTTGTCTGAATCATAGCTTGGCCTACTTAGTGTGTAGCAGATCTTATGAATTTGCAAGGATTTCTATTTACTTGTTTAGATCCGTTACTTACGATATTTCAAATTTCAGTTGGGTAAGCTTGTTCTTGGCACTGATCTACCTTACCGGATGGCTGTTCATCCTCGAGAAGGTGGTCTTATTTGCGCGTTGCCTAACAGTTGCAGGTGAGCTATCTCTTTCGATTTCACTACTCGTTAGCTTTTTAATTTGTAGGTTCTTTTTGCTATTAGAATTGGGGGTTTACGTTTGAGAAGCGTATGCGTTTGAATTTTCTGTATACACATAGAGAATAATTATGTCTTTGGATTATATGGTTTGGAGTAGACAGAAAGTTCAAGGGGTGTGGTTAAAAGTGCTCTTCTCTTGATAAACAGACTGTTTGATTGGCCAAATATTATGAGCCCACGAGAGGATAATCAGACTACTGAAGAGTCAGAGGAAGTGATTAAAGAGTTAGAAGATGTTGGACAACAGTTGGCTCTAGCGTTCAATCCGGAGGGAACTGTGCTCGCTGCTGGTGCGGAGGTAAAAAAGACTCTTTTATGCAGCAATCTCTTTTAAATTAACAGATAAAGAAACTTTAGTGGTTCTTATGCATTTTGTTTTGATGCAGTACAGGATGGGACGTTGAGGGTTTTCGAATGGCCCAGCATGAAAACGTTGCTTAATGAGTCTCAGGCACATTCATCAGTCAAAAGCCTAACTTTCAGGTCTGCTTTCTCCTATCGAATGAGGATTTCTTTGCTATTTGGTTAGAGGTTTAGTCTCTTGATGAGAAAGGGATCGTCTTCGAACAGTGGTTGTAGACAGATATCCTGATGGTGAATATTTTTTGTTTACAGCGAAGATGGTAAATTCCTTGTATCCCTTGGAGGTCCACTTTGTCGGGTTTGGGAGGTGAATGCTTCTACTGCTGTTGCCAGTCTATCAAAAGAGAAGGTCAGTTGGGTTTTGCTCTTAGTATCTTTTAACTTTATATACAAACTTCCAACACTATTGTATTGGATGGATCTGATGAGTTTAAATACTGGAATGCAGGACGAGATGTTTGCCTCATGTAGATTTTCTGTAGACAGTGCAGGCAATGAAGTTCTTTACATTGCTGCAAACACTGGTAAAACTTATATTCTGGCAGTGCAAGAACATAGAGCTTTAAATTTGTCTTTTTGTCACTGCTAACAACTGAGGATTGATTTCTTTTTTGTAGAACGTGGTGGGAGTATTATAACATGCGATACAACATCATGGAAACGAAAAGACTCAAAGCTTATAAAGAACAACTCTATATCAGCCTTTAATGTCTCTGCTGATGGAAAATTGCTTGCAATGTAAGTTTACTTCTCACTTTTGGAACCAGCAGATAAAAGTGATACTAGTTTTTTTAGTAGTCGTGAATTTTTCTAAACGCAGAGGAACCCTTGAAGGAGATGTTATGATACTTGATTCGACGAGAAAGCAAACTAAACAAAATGTCAAGAAAGCGCATCTTGGTTTGGTCACAGCACTGACTTTCTCACCTGATTCAAGGTTTCTCTCTATACATTAAGGCCCAAGTCTATACTTAAGAGCTATCGAGTCAATGGTTCCAAAACAAGCAAATAGATATAAAAATTTTGAAGTTTGAATTTGGGTTTGCTTTTGCAGGTGCTTAGTGTCAGTTTCTTTAGACTCAAGGGCAAGGCTAACTGTTATTGAAGCAAAGGGTGAAAAACGTACGTATATTTACGGTATCTTCTCTTGGAACTTGTCCATTTTTTTTTCCAATCAGAAACCTAAAACTGTGGATTTTGATGATGAAATTGCAGCTGGAACAAGGTGGTGGATACTTGCAATATTGTTCGTGTTCCTATACGTGGTTGCATATTATTTTTTGAAGGCAAAGGGGATCATACCTTGAAAAGGCCTTTTGAGTGTTACCCCACCAGACGATACAGCGGAGGGGCTTGTAACCAAACAAATATCATACGCTCTTTGAGTTAGGCTTTTGGCGTTTGTTTTTGACAAAGTCTCAGGGATTCTTCAATTTTTACCCGATACTTGCATGGTTTTATATCATAAAAAAATGTAAACTAACACTGATACAGTAAACATAGTGAAAAGACAATATTATGAATTAATAAGTATAAGACCCTTTTGTGTCCAATCAATCCTCATCGAACTTAAAACATAAGATAAGAATGTCGTGACTTATAGTGAACTTTCATGGCTAACGTGTATGTTTTTTTCATACTAAATAATGATAGTTACATGTCCGAAAGACTCGGTAAGCAAAAAAGAAGAGCTTTTTGGGTATATTTACAGTAATATTGGATATCCCCACAGGTTAGCATTTGACTTTTCTTCTGTTGATTAGATTATTTGGTGAAAGCAAATAAAGATACCCGAGAAAATATTTTAATTATTGGCGCTTCCTTTGGTAGAGAGAGTAACCAACGAGCGCAGACATCAAAAATGTCCATAGTACCTGTTTCCACCATATTTGTTACTTTTCATCAATCATATACCCCAAAAACAAGAAATAAAGATGTTGCGACTAGTCTATTAACACGATGAAATGATACCGTATTGATGGTGTGCCAACGTTCGAGTCGTTTAATTCTTGACTGCATATCTTCCAAAATGTTGTCTATGGAAGAACCATCTCTTCTTGGTGATGATTCCGAGACACTGTTACTACTTCCCTATTTTAGATGTAAGACAATCAAACGGCAATGAGAACCAATTCTGATACATTGAAACTCGAATGCGAGAAGAGGATTAAAGAGACTTCTGGTTACCTGAGATTGTATGAATTCCACTAGTTCTTGCAACCGTGCTGCTTGCTGTGTATGGATTCCACTTGAACTTCTCTGCACTGGTGGCAATCTTTCCAACACTATTTGAAGGTAACTCTTCATTCACGAAAACAACAAAACGGAATAAATATTGATTGTGTATTATATATGTAAAATGAAGATCAAGAACAAAAGGTGTTTCGAAATGGAACCTTTGTTGTGTATGAACCATCCAGTTTGAGAGCTGAACCAGCAGCTGTCACAGCTTCTTTGTTTGCGCCTTTGATCTGTATGTAAGGACTTGGCACATCTTGAAGATGATCAACCTCAATAAGAATCTTCAAAATAAAATAGACAATCGGTATTCCAATCTCAAGAAGCTTGTTTTGAATATTTAACTAAGAGCAATGCATCTTCACCTTTCCGTCTTGGTAAATGAACGCAGAGGCTTCGATATACGCCACTGCTTGATACCTGAAACCAGAATAGAGAACATATATTAGCATCTGAAAAATCTGAATGGATAAATATTGTTACTACTGAAACGCCGAAAACTGTTGAAGAAAAAAGAACTTGTTTGATTTTTTGCTCACCCGAGATTAAGAAGACCTGCCACAGTACTTACGCTAATGTCAAAATCTACTTTGGGCTGGATGATGAAGTTACCTTCCCTGATTGGCTGTGACACGTACGAAGATTCATGAGACATAAGAAAAAGAACTAATGAGTCCTATAATTAACAAAGAATTTATGAATTTGCATATATGAAAATCAAACCTCGCGTATAAGCACTGCAAACCTGCCCTCACATATTCTTACGCGTATGCAGTCACTATCTGACAACTGACCATTTGCAGGAAGCCCAGATAGCCTTAGATATATATCAATAAAATTCTGAACGGAACTGCAGAATTTTGTCGAATCAAGGATGCTGAGGATATCCTGGTATGGAACCTTATCATATCAACCACATGACGAGTTGTGAGTGTTTCTGTACATTATGGAAAGCTCAGGATGTAATTTTAAATCTTACTTGTTTATTGCTCTTCAAAACAAACAAAGAGCTCTCAGGAGAGAGAACTGGATCAAAATCATTCCGAATCTTAACCTGTGATATTGGGAAAACTGTTAGCACGCACACAAAGATCATATACATACTCATATGTCAAATCCTGTCCGGTTGAGTACATTTATTTAAAATTGGGATTTTTTCTTTTTCACAAGCTAAACTGTGATCACAAACGAGTAGCAAACAGTAACAGATTGAAGGAAAATTTGCAGAGAACGAGACTAGTAGGTGAAATCTAGAGTCTCAGGTGTACTCACGTGTGCATGCACTAGATGCGGCTCGATGTGTTGCTGGAACATTGGAAATACGGTCATCATTATCTCATTCTGAGACATGAAACACCCCACTCGACTTTTATCCCTCTGGACTCTAGAGATAAGATGTGAATGAACACCTCCCACCTGGTTTATGAAGAGAAATAGAAATCAATATGTTCTTGATAAGAAAAGAATAATGAATGGAAGAAAAGGAACAATAAAGCAGAAATGATCTTACAACAGCAACCCAAAGGTCTAAAGATTGTCTGATTTCTGGATGCAATGCATAAACCCCCTCGAAGATGATCTGAGAAAATGATGTGATATTGAAAATCATCAACAACTACGGTGAGATAATCACCATATAATATGTGAAGAGTATGATCACTAACCACACCACACTCTTCTGGAACTTCTAGTTCCTTGAAGCCACATCTGGTGCCAGTCTCCAAGTCAAATATAGGCAGTTTGGTTCTTCGACTGTTCGTTATGTCAGCAATATTCTACAAGTGAAGTAGAGAGAGATTTAATTCTAATAAAACTAATCCAAAGACTGACAGACAACTCTATTTCACAAACCAAAGCGTTACCTTTGAGAGCAAAGGCAAATCAAGGGAACTAAAGTCGTCATGCTTAAAATCTTTGACTTGTTCAGACTTGAAGTAACTTTCGAGGGAAACCACTTCACAACCAACTATATTGGCCATTTTATGAGCCAAGCTAGTCTTACCAGACCCACTAGGACCGCCTACAGTGAAATCAGGGTGAAAAATATAGAGAATAGGAAATAACATTTCGGCTAAACTAAAATGACACAAACAGCGAACAAGCAATTTTACCTATTCCAACAATAACAGGGGGTCCCTTATTCTCCAGCAGTGCCTGATAATTCGAGCAAAAGAACCCTTACTAAGTGAACAAGTGCAAGAAAAAACAACTTTTTAAAAGATTTCTCCTATCTTCTTGCAACCCCATTACCTGTATCGCTTGAACGGAAAGTAGCAACCCTCTGTCCAAGTCGTATGAATCAGGCATAGGAACAAGCCGCATATTATCCCTGAAAGAGGAATCTGTGGCTGCTTGATGAGAAAGCCTAGGCATAAATGCAACGATAATACTACTGAAATACATTTCATAGACGATGAAACTAAGAGGGTAAAAATATCAAATGGAAAACTCATCAATCTTCAAAAAAGACGGACATACCTACAACAGAGCTTACTGATTGAGGTGGGTCATAAGAGGTGAAATGCCAAGTTGCTACCATTGGTTCCATTTGGGATTTGGTAGGAGATCGAGTCCAAGGCTGCGACAAATCCTCAAGGCGGGTAACAATGTTTGGGGTAGTTCGAATAGGTTTTGGTGCAACAATTTGCTTCTCTTGGTTGGTGATTACAGGAGACGGTTGCAAAAGTGGAGGTGTGTTCAAGCGTGGTACACCTGCAACATGGGTAAGCTTGCAGAACTTAATATTCTGTTGCACTGCAGAGCGTAAGGAAGGATAAAAATGGAAACAAACATGATATATCCAATTCACTGACCTTTACTTTCAAGAATGAGTTCCAGGTATGATTTGGTGATCCAGGGCCCAGTGATGCCCATTCTCAGAGCTTCAGCTCCCACACTCTATGCAAAAAGATCTATTAAAACATTTATATCAAACGGGATACTAAATAAGCTAGATCCTCATTACTGATAGAGGGGAAAGAAACAGTTAAGAAAACGTGTATTATTGTCTCTTTTGCATTGACGATCAAAATGTACTTGTTCTTAGCGATAATTTTGGGTTATTACCTTCCTATCTGTCCCTCTCAGTACCAGGAAAGTCTCGCTAAGTGTATCGATCGTTTCACGTGACAGGGACAAATTACCATAACTGATAGCAGTTGAAGCTCGCTTATAACTCACAACAACATTGTAGCCTAAAGCTAGCAACCCTCCAAGTGTCATGCGTCCAACCTGCTAGACATTGGAAATTAAGTCACAGAGAGAAGGATAAGTAGGAAATATAAAGTTGCCCCCCATCTTGACCAGATTCCATAAATATAGGCATGCCTCTTCAGTAGAGAATATAAGAAATTAACAAAATCTGGGAAAATACTGGACCAGGAACCAAAACAGTAAAGTTAAACATAACCCCATTCATACTGTTATCTTCCACCGAGGATAAAACGCTAGAACCTCATATTCCAGAAAAAATTACAGACCTAGAAAGAAGGATATACCAAATTATAATTGGAAACTTGGCAATTCAGTAATAACTCACCTCAAACTCAGCTTTCGGACGGATAATGAAATGCTTGTCGACAATCCTTTGATCTCCAAGGGACAGATAGTACCTTATACCAGCTTGACGAACTTTTATCCAGTCATTTATCCGTGCCTCTTCACTTGCAGAAGGAGGTCTAAGGTACATCTCAATAAAACTAAAAGCAGCACCAAAGGAACCAAGTCAGCATGCATATGAAGATCCAGTAAAAAGCTTAAACCATTCACATATACTAGAACAATCCTGCTTACTTATCCTTCTGCACATCACTTTCTTGAGCAAATGAAGTTACTATCTGTTACATGAATTAGTTAAGTGGCAAACATTAGTAAATAAATCAAGGTCAGGAAAGGAAAGCACAATAACTGGAAGAAACTACAGACCTCACTTTTGCATTTCAATTTGTAAATGGCTTCTCGAAAAGATGAAACAAAACTATTGTTGATTCTGATCTGCACAGTCCCAACAAACAGAGAAGTCAAACTTCTGTGAACACTTAAATGGAGAAAGAAAAGAAGAAAAACCAACCTGTGCATGATGGAGATCGGGCTCAATGTGCTTTCTAAACAATGGGAAGATGCTGTCGATAAGGTAATCAAGGGAACAGGAATCTCCAATATCATAACGGACTTTAGAGAGAAGGCTAAAATGAACTCCCCCAACCTAATCACAGAGAGAATAAACAATATCATATTCACGGAATG